CGGGGAGACACGGGGGATGTTTAAGGAACAGCAAGGAGGCTGGAGCAGAGTGAGCTAGGGGAGGGGAGATGGGAGACAAGACTAGATTGACACTAGGGCTTTGGCTTTTACCAGGAGTGAGATGCAGCCAGAGGAGGGCTCTGAGCCAGGAGGGCCCTGATCTGACTCAGGGGTTCACAGGCTCCCTCTGGCTGTGTGTGGGGAGCAGACTGTAGGGGCGGGATGGGAGCAGGGAGACCAGGGAGGAGGCTGTGTGATGGTCCAGGAGGGAGAGGATGGAGGCTGGGCCAGGGTCGGGGCAGCGGCGGGGGGGAACAGAGTTTAGATTTAGGATAGATTCTGTGGGTGGAGCCCACAGGGTCTGCTGAGGTTGGATGTGGGTGTGAGGGTAAGAGGGTCTGAGGGCAATTCCAGGGTGTTTGGCCTGAGCCGCCAGAAGGATGGAGCTGCCACTGACTGAGATGGGGAAGGTGGGGAGGAGTAAGCTTGGGGAAAGATCGGCTGTGAACCCCTTTTCTCCTGAGCCTCCTGCATGGCTGGTGTTCTGAGAGCACATTCTGGGGACATGAATCTGGTGCAAACTCAATTTTGCATCCTCGTAGGAAGAACTTGGTGAGGCCACACCCAAGCTGAGCAGTCTTCCCACAGCCCCACAGATCTGGAGGAGGGGAGGCAGGACTTCCAGGGAGAACCCTATCCTGCTGAGGACAGAGAAAGGCAGACAGAGGATGTGCTTCAGGCCTGAGGGACTCCAAACCCCAAGCTTTTAACGTTGCCCTAGACAGCCTCTCTAGTGGCTTCCCTCCTGAGGGTTAAACAATAATGGCACAGTAATAATAACACTGGCTATGTTTCCTGGGGATGTCAGTGGGCTGACCCCATGCTATGTGTCATATCTGGGGGGTTCTTTGAATCCCACCACCATCCTGGAAGGTAGAGACCATTTCTATGCCCATCTTGCAGATGGGGAAACTGAAGCTTGGAGAGGCTATACTTGCCCGGGGGAATATAGCTAGGAACCTGCAAAGCCAGGATTTGAACCCAGGCCTGACTACCTGCATACTCCCTGCTCCTTCTGTGGTTCTCATGGACCCTTACCTGTCCCCACCCTAAATATACTCACCCACAGCCTGGACTGGGAGCTTCCTGGCTGGCTCGCCTTAGTCACGGCCTCCAGGTGGGGCCCAGGGATGCCTGGTACCTCTGCTGGGTGGTGCCCGCCACCCACTGAGTCCCCAGACCAAGACTTGGGGTCTGAAACACCAACTGTGGGTGGGAGTGAATTCTTATTTTTAAATGACTTAGTGCTCCAGGAATGTGATTTCCAGAAAGTGTGAGGTTTTAGGAAAAAATTTTCACTTTATGGATGGATTTGGAGGGAGGGGGGAGGGAGGGAGGAGGGAATATCAAATGCCCCCTCCAAGTATTTTTAAAACTATATTCTGTGCCACTGTTTCTCACTTCTAAACTCTTTATTCTTGTTTGTATTATTTTAAGCAATGCAAAAAGTATGTTCTGGGTCACCTGGTTTGCTCACCAAATTGTCTGATATATTTAGAGGTGTGAAAATCCCAGAAAAGTGAGGTGGGGATATAATTTCTGGGTTGTTTTTGTTTGTTCATTTTGTAATTTCCCAACGTTTTTGAAAAACCCGAGTATAATGGAAGGGCACAGTGCTGGCGTTGGCCAGAGCCAGGTCTGAATCGTGGCCTAATTACTTTCCAGCTGGAGGCCCAGGACAAGCTGGTTCATGTCGGCGATCTGTCCTCATGCTTATTCATTAAGCAAAGGTTTCCTGAGCACCTACTATGTGCTGGACACTGTCTGGAGCAGTAAACAAAATGCCCCTGCCCTCCTGAAATTCACCAGGAGTAAATCATGAACTTCGAGTGTGAGGAGGGTTTTACCAGGGGCAGCAGGATGGCTGTGGGGAGCGGGGTTGGGGGTAGGGGGGCAGTGTGGAGCCTGGGGGCAGAAAGGCCCTGCTCAGGAAAGTTACAGCCTGAAGCATGAGACACAAAAGCCCATGTTAACCAAGTTGGCTGAGTCAAGTGTTGCACGGATCATTACCTCCTCTAATTCTCACTCCCAGTTTCCAGATGAGGACTCTGAGAACCAGAGAGGGCAGGACAGGTGTGAGCCTCAGCTCAGCAGTGATGGTGCAAGACCCTGAAACCTGCCTCGGGGTGTGAGCGGGGTGTGAGCGGGAAAGAAAGTGGTGCAGGGAGGGTCCTTCGAGGGCGTGAGAGCTGCCCATGCGCTGGAGCCTGAAGGGCACTGGAAGCAAGCATGAGGTGAGGATGGAGAGGGGCCCACATCCTAGGAGCCTTGGAGCCTGGCTCCTTTCGGCCCCGTGGCAGTAGCGAGCTTCCGGCAAGTGCATGACCCCTCTGCCCTGCCATTTATTCAATGTGCGGACTTGGACAAGTCAGTTCACTTCACTGGGCCTCAGTTTCCCCATCTGCAAAATGGGGATGATGATAATGGCCCCGACTTCACAGGGCTCTTGTGCAAAGGCTGCAGCCAGGGCCTGGCATGTGTTAGCCGCCACTATGGCAACTCACTTGGCTGTTTCTTGAGAAACAATAGAGTATAGTAGTTCTGCACAAGAGCTGGATCCAGGCTGCCTGGTTCCGATCCCAGGGACCTGAGGCAAGTCACTTGGTCTTTCCAAGCCTCATTTCCCCATATTAAAATGGGCTGTGGGGAGGATTTAATGAATCAATACCTGCAAAGCCCTGAGGCCTGTGCCTGGCAGGTGTAAATGCTCTGTCAACTGTGGTGGTTGACCTTGATGGTGGCTTTCCTTGTCTAGATGTTCATTTCTGCTCTTAATGTGAGCTGAGTCCTTTATGGAACTAGATGAGGCTTGTGGGAGTGAAAAATGCATCCCATCACCCAACTTCCCCATTCTTCCTGCTGCCCTGAGCCACAGAACAGCAGCTTGGAGTTGGCATTTGGGAAGATTCATTCATTCCACAGTGAGTTTCTGCATCTATTTGTGTGGCCACTCCTTCCCACCTGCATGCAGATACATCTCTACCAGTCAAGTCAAAGAGCTATTCGTGGCCCCATCATTTACCAGCTGCATGTCCTCTCTGGTCCTCACTTTCCACATCTGTAAATGGGGATAATAACAGCAGCTACCTCCAAGGAGAGCTAGAAAAAGGTTGGCTGGCTGAATTCATACAGTACCTCTCAAACATGTTTTGACCACGTTCCGCAATAAGAAACACATTTTTACATTATGACGTAGCCTTGAACGTCTGTTTTCTGGGGTGAACTATGGCATTGCTCTAAGCCTCAGTTTCCCCATCTGTAATATGGAGAGAATATCGGTCCCACCCTCATAAAACCAAAAGAAAAGCTTAACAGAACTTCTTACTGAGAGAGATGCACTCTGATTTTTTAAATCTATTTTATACTTTTTAAAGTGTGGTTTTCAGCTCACTAATTTCATGGTGCACTAACGGGTAACATATTTAGAGTCTGAAAAACACTGGGTTAGACAAGTGAAGTGTTTAGAGCAACAATACGAGTCCATTCCAAAAAATCCTTTCATTGAGTTCCCACCAGGTACAGGCTTCCTCCAGGGCTCCCCAGAGGGTCTCAGCACGCTCTACTCACCTGGATACAGCGGCTCCTGATCACTCCTGAGTAGAACGGTCACTGCAGAGAAGGCAGAGGTGAGGGCAGGTAGGCTGGGAACTGCAGGGGGCAGGGGAGGGTAGAGGCGCAGGGGTCCGTCCACTCTCACCAATGGCCCAGGACGCTGCCCCGATGCCTGTCAGGAGCAGCACGGTCCCCACAGTGAGAGCTGCCACCTTGGGTCCAGAGCAGCATGGCACAGTCCGGCCACCTGCAATAGACACCATGCTGGGGCCACTGCCAGGTCTGTCCTCATTGTGGCAGGATCTGAGCACGGGGCCAGCTCTGCCCTGCTCCAAGGCCAACTTAGCACGCCTGAGCCTGCCCTGCCCCGGACCCAGTTTCCTGCAGTGAACAGTTGGCAGGGCCGTCCCTCCCCTGCGGCGAGGACAACCAGGTGTCCAGCCCCCCAAGTGTTCCAGCTGGGAAGAGCCGTGGCTGGGACAGCTTCCGCCCTCCCTGCCTATATTCCTGGCACTTAAGGGATTTCTCCTCCCCAATGACGCTGCGCTTCTGTATTTTCTTCATCACGTTGTCCCGTCTTTTCCTGAACGTCTCACTTCTGCTAACTTTCCCAGAGGTTCCTGGAGCCTCTTGGGGGCTGTGACCCCTGACCTTTGCCCTCTTGGCAACTCTCTTCCCTGCTGTTTGGCATTTCCTCACTGCCTCACTTCTCTCTGCTATACCAGACCCTCTGCCCCTGGGAACCCCCCAAAACCAGACCTCTCCCAAAGGACCCAGCTCCAAGGTCAAATTTGCCCCTGGAGGTTGAGAACCTACATTTGGAAATTTGCCAGCCTCACTTAAAAATATTGGCCTTGGACTTCCCTGGCTGTCCAGTGGTTAAGACTCTGCACTTCCACTGCAGCGGGCAACAGGTTTGATCCCTGGTCTGGGAACTAAGATCCTGCATGCCGTGTGGCGCGGCCAAAAAAATACATATATATATTGACCTTACCCATTCCTATGTGGGACCTTGGGCAGGTGGTGTCGCCTCTTTGAGCCTCAGCTTCCTCATCTATTTAATGGGCATCCACCTAGCACACACCTCTAAGTATAATGTTTTAAAGTTCTTTTAAATAATAATAATAATAAGCATACTCTTATCACATTTTATGTGCCAAGCACCGCTCTGAACGCATTAACTTATTCAGTCCTTATCTAAGTTATGATTCCCATTTTTCAGACAGAGAAAACTGAGGCTCAGAGAAGTGGAGTCACCTGCCCAAGGTGACTCAGCCAGGAAGAGGCAGTGCTGAGTCCTGAACCCTGGGCAGATTTGGCACTGGGGTCCAAGTGTATAACCACTAAGCCATGCCAGCCCTCCCTGTGCTATAGTGGCCGGCATATAGCAAGTTCTCAATAAATGCTTTTATTTATTTATTTATTTTTCATTTTTTATTGGTCAATAAATCCCTTTAAATCATTAGAGCTGTGTGGTCCTGGGCAACTCCCTTCACCTCTCTGGGCCTCAGTTTTCTCATCAGTAAAATGGGACTTTATTCATTCATTGTCCTATTGAGCATTCACTGTGTACCTGGCACCATTCTAGGCTCTGGAGACACATCCCAAAACAGGACAGATGAGATGTTGGTTCTCATGGAGTTCACATTCCCATGTGTGTAAAGTGAGGGGAAAACCAAAACAAGTAAACAAGTAAATGAACTTGATAATTTCCAGATCGTGGCAAAGTCTATGAAGAAAATGATGTGGGTTGGGAGTGGCAGTGCTCTGTGGGGTGTTCAGGAAGGGCCTCCCCAAGAAGTGACTTTTGAGCAGAGACCTGAGGGGTGAGACCAGCCAAGCAAAGACCTCTCATGGAAGGGCACAGTGGGCAGAGGGAACAGCACAGGCAAAGTCCCTGAGGCAAGAATAAGCATGGTGGGTTAGAGGGCAAGAGAGGCCACTGATGTGGCCAGAATGGCGTGAGCTTGGGGAAGGCAGTGGGACCAAGGCTGGGGCCAGCTGGGGAGGGCTGGCAGCCCCCGGACAAGAGGGATTTTATTCCCAGTGCAACAGGGGCCCTGGGGCTGAAAAGCCAACCCTTTTGCTAGAGATCAGGAGGACCAAAGGGAAAAGGCAGCTGAAAGCTTTTGCTGGGCCTGGAATGCACCCGACTGCCCTTGGCATCTGCAAGGCCCTCCCAGGGCTGCAGGACCTCCCAGCTTTGCCATCTGTGTTATGGCAGTACGGCTGATGGGCACAGGGCCAGGCCAGCACCCGGAATGGAGCAGGGAGCAGTCCAGCACCTTCCTGGGATGCCTATTGTCTGAGTGTCTTAAGAATTTGAGAGCCCAGCCACTCCCGTCAACGTGCTCCTCCCTCCAAAGAGGCCCCAGTGGACCAGGCCAGCCCAGCCCTGGCTGGCTGACCCCTTCCTGTCTCCCTGAGGAGAGAGGTCCCCACCTCCACCCCCAACCATCTTCCTGGTTCCAGTGGGAGGTCTCAGCTCCGCCAGCAGTCAGGCTTGTCCTGGTTCCTTTGTGTTCAGATGTGCCTGCAGAGCTTTGGGCCACTCAGAGCCCAGCCCAGGGGCTTTGGCACGTCTGCTGGGGCAGGAAGCATTGCCACCCTGTGTCTCTTAAGGTGAGAGGCAAAACCTGCTTTCATGGCTTCTGGTCCAGGGGACTTCGGGCAACCCCCAAACAGGTGCCTCTGGTGGGACAGGAAGCATCCTCACTCTGGGTCCCTGGCGTGAGAGGCATTCTCACTGCGTATCTTTGCTGAGGCAGGAAAGCGTCCTCACTGTGTGAGAGGCAGCAGCGTCCTTCCGTGATTCCTCACGGGCGAAAGGGCTGGGTAAGCCAGGACCCCCAAGCTTCCCCCTGAGGCTCTGCTCTCTGTTCCTCCAAGGGCGCTAGGCTGCCCTTGTCTTCTCACAGGACAGTGCTTCTGTCCCCACCATTTGGCTGCAAAACCCTCCCAAGTGACATCTTTGGCTCCTTGTCTCTGAAACTCCGTTCAATCTACAGTTCCGTGTCTGTTTTCATTGTACACAACTCCAACTTTCTGAACGGAAGTCTCTCCCCGTCTGATTTCTGGGACACTGCCTGTGCCCGATTCTGATTCTCCCCCTGCTTCTCCATCTCCTCCACACACTCCCTGAAATCTGGGGTCCCCAGGGTGGCCATGGCCTCCTCCCCCTCATGCCTCCCCACTCCCATCTGTCTTACCCACCTCCACAACCTGTGTCCCTTTTCTGTCCCCAGCCCTGGACTCTCCTTTGTCCTAGATCGGGGGTCCTGCAGTCTCTTAGATGCCTCCCACTTGAATCCCCAAGGTCCTTCACACCTCCCAGGTCCCATACTGGCCTCAATGTCTCCCCAAATCCCCAGGTCCCATCTCAGAGGCCCTCATCCTCAGGACTGTCCCTCGTCTGCAGGACGTCTCCCTCCCACCTTAGCTACAGGCCTCCTGAGTGTCTCCCGCCCACTCTCTCCTTCCCTGCTCCCACCCCATCCAACCCCTGGGCTCAGTCTCTCCTTCTGGCCCAACCTCCACATAGAACCCCAGGGAATCTTCCTAAACACCAAATCCAACCTGTCCCTACCCTCCATGACTCACCAGTGCTCCCCAGGACAGAGTCTAAAGCCCTCAGCCCGTGGTGCCAGCCCCTCTAGGATGTAAGCATGGCTATTAGAGATTTGGGGGTTGAACATGCGTTCCTAAATTCCCACACAGCCATATGGGTCCTTATCAGACAACTGACAGCGGTTCCAAAAAGCAACCAAAACGACAGGACTTATAAAACAAAGAATACCCACCAGCGCCACCTTGTGGAGAGACCCGGCACTGCCCAGTCATGGGCCAGCTTCTTACCAAAAAGAGTCCTAATGGATCTCAATCACCCTCCCAACTCCATTTCCAACTTCACCGACAGAAATACGAAATTAGCTATGTGCCACTGCACACCGGGCAGATTGTCACCCCAGCTGTTAGCTTTGCTCTTCCTTCTGCCTGGCACACCTACCTACTCCCTCCTCATCCTGAGTGTCAACTCAGGTATCACCTCCTCTGATTCTAAGTCTCCAGGAAGCACCAAACCTCGCCTTAGGTGTTCTTCAACAGCAGAATGGGGCTTCCCTGGTGGCGCAGTGGTTAAGAATCCGCCTGCCAATGCAGGGGACACAGGTTCCATCCCTGGTCCGGGAAGATCCCATGTGCCGCGGAGTAACTAAGCCTGTGCACCACAACTGCTAAGCCTGTGCACCACAACTGCTGAGCCTGAGCTCAAGAGCCTGCGAGCCAAAACTACTGAGCCCGTGAGCCTCAACTACTGAAGCCCGCACGTTTACAGACCATGCTCAGCAACAAGAGAAGCCACCGCAATGAGAAGCCTGAGCACCGCAACAAAGAGTAGCCCCCACTCGCTGCAACTAGAGAAAGCCCGCGCGCAGCAACAAAGACCCAACGCAGACCAAAATAAATAAATAAATAGATTTATTTATTTATTTGTTAAAAACCCAGCAGAATGGTAACACAAACATTAGCACAGCTGCAGCCACAATGGTTCTCAGAAGCTACACCGACCTTAGCCCTGTCCTAACCCCATCCTGCAGTTTCCTACAATCCTTGCAACTGTTAATGAGGAAGGTGTCATCACCATCCCCAATTTACAGATGAGGAAAGGAGGCCCAGAGAGGTGCAGCCACCTACCCGGGGTCACCCAGCAAGTAACCACAACGCCAGAACTTTTCAGCATTCGTGTCTAGGTTTGAAACGACAGCAGGACTCCCCTCCAGGGCCAGGCCCGAGCTGCCTGGGGATGCACTGAAGCCCCCTGTGCCTCGGTTCTCTCTGTCCCCAGGCCAGTCTCTGGCCATCCTTCAGCTTTTCATGCTCTGCTTTTCATCCCTGGTTCATTCACCCGTAGGCCCCAGGCCTGGTGAGATCCCTTCAGTGGGCTCCAGGAAGGAATGGTTCCAAAGGTGCAGGGCTCTGCTGCCCACCTGCTCAGCAAGGGCACAAGCACCTTCTCCCGAGCCACTGGGAGCCTGGATTTACTCTGGGCCACAGCTGAATGATTTGGGCTCTGATTTGCTAGCTGTGCTGAGACCCAAAGAGGCCAGTAATCTACACCCATCATTTCAGCCAACACATTCAGGGCTTCCTGCCTATCACGGCATGTAAACCCTCACACCATCTTCTGAGGTGGGCACTAGTACTGTCTCCATTTTACAGAGGAAGAAACGAGGCCCAGAGAGGGTAAGTCACCTGCCCAGGGCCTCACAGCTAGAAAGTGATACTGCCTGGGACCAAACCCAGCTAGTCTGGTTCCAGGAAGAAGAGAGCGAGTCGGCCCCAGCTGGGGAGCGTGGAAAGGAAAGGCAACCCCTAACTGGGCCCTTCCAGCTGGCTCCCAAGTGTGGACCAGGGTAAGAAGGAGCCAGGGTGTCTGGAGCCCCTGCCAGGGGCTTCCATGAGCCCTCGAGTGCCCGCCACTCTGAGGATGTGGTTTCTCCCCACCATCCCTGGAGCAGTTTCTCTGTTGTCTCTCCCCTTTCCATCCATCCGGACTGAGTCCAAAGTCCTCCCTCTGCTGTTTTGCCCACAGTGTGAGGAGGTGGGAGGAACGTCTGGAATCGGTGGGGGTCTTGGGTCCCAGGACTCCAAGTCGGCCGACCTCTTCCACGACAGCTCTGGTGCACCGCATCTGTCTTACAGGCTGAGCCCCATGCTGGTGCCTTGTGTGTTTTACGTGCTCCCAACAACCTCACGGTAGGTAGGTAGGTAGGTGGGTGGGTAGGTAGGTAGGTAGGTAGGTAGGCAGGTAGCATTAGAATCCATGCTTGACCCAGGGGGGGAATGAAGCCCAGAGAAACGACGACACTTTCACAAGATGGCACAGCAAAAAAGTGGCAGAAGGCAATTCGAATGCAAGCCGGTGTATTTGACTCCGGAGTCTGTGATAGCTAGTCTCCCCGCCTTGGCCGCAAGTAGAGGACAGGTCCAGGGATAGCTGAGAGATCACTGGGGGATGAGGGGAAACTGAGGCAAGGAGGCAGGAAGGTCATATGGGGTGGCAGGGAGGCAGGTGGTGGCACAGCCCCACAGAAAATGTGGTTAACAGTTAATCGGGTAGAGGAGGCCTCAGAAGCGGGTGGGGATGGGCCCCAGGAGGGGCGCCAGAGAGAGGGGGCTCCAAGGGGGTGGAGGGCTGGGAAGAAAGCACAGAAGGAAGGGCGCCAGGCGGAGCCAAAGTTGGGGCTCAGGGAAGGGGGGACTCACCCTCCTTCTCCGCCATGTCACGGCCTCTAGTTAATGATTCCCCGGCTGACCTCCTGGGCCGGGGCGGGACCTGTGGGGAGATGAACGGGAGGAGGCAGGGCCTGGGGGAGCCCAAGCCAGCCCCTGTGCCCCCAGTCCCAGGCGCCCATCCAGGGAGGCCGAGGGGCTGGGCCCCGGCCAGAGCACGCCATGATCACGGACACAGACTGGGCTGGGTTCAAGGATGGGGTCAGTGTGTGACCAGCAGCCAGGGGGATGCCTGGATTTGTAGGCCTGGGGGACCCCATACGCCTGGGCCTGGGTGAGCAGGAGACCAGGGCTCTGAGCTCCTGGGTCTGAAGGAGAAGACCTGGGGCCGCAACTCCTGGGCCCGGGGGAAAGCGAGGTTTGGGGGCCAGCCCTCCTTCGGGGGAGGGGCACAGGGGCCTGGACTCCGGGGTCCGAGGGAGGAGGAGACTGGGGCCGATCCTGGAGCCCGAAGCACAGGGGGCTGGAACTCTGAGGTCCTTGGGGGGCAGCCTGACAGCCCACCCTGCGGGTCCCTGGGAGCCCTTCCACTGGGAGCTGAGCATTAGGGCGGGTTTGGGTGAGGGGGCCCACGTCCTGGGGACCGGAACTGAGGACCCTGGTCCTTACCCTGGGGTCCAGCAGGTGGGGGCGGAGCTGAGAGATGGTGCCGGTTTAGGGTCAGTCTCCAGGCCTGGGCAGGAGCATGGTGGCCCCTCAGCAGCGGCGGCCCCAGAGGCAGCGGCGGCGGTGGCACGGGGCCTGCTAGGCCTGGCTGCCTCACCTGAGGAGGAGGGGGCTGGGCAAGAGGCGGGGGAAGG